GGGCGGCTTAGATAGGAGGTGGGATCCTAGGGGGGCAGTTAGTGGCAGGGGTCCCAGGAGGGGGCAGTCAGGGGACAAGGGGCGGGGGGGGGTTGGGAGTTCTGAGGGGGGCAATCAGGGGGTGGGAAGTGGGAGGGAGTGGATGGGGGCGGGGGCGGGGCTAGAGTGGGGCTCTTCCCCCCGTCCTCTTTTTTGCTTGTGGAAATATAGTAACCCTAAGAGAGGAAGGAGACTGGCTGACAACACTCCAAGCACCTGTCCCTGACAGTTAAAACGTGCTTCTAATTTCATCCTGCAGGGCAGACCAAACAAACAATGTTACCATGTCACAGCACAGTTCAGGAACATCATTAAAATATGGCTTGACCCTTTCTACGCTGCAAGATGGAGCCTTGTCTCAGATGCAGAATGGGAGAATCATGATGTAACAGCTTGTCCACCAATGATGTTGATTTGGGGTGTGTCTTCGCTACAGAGTTACCCAGGGCTCTCACGCCCCGCCCCATCCACATCCCTCTCACCTGAGTTTGATGATACTTTAAACCCGGGCTAGCTGGCTCAACTAGGGCTATCAGCTAAAACCTAAGTGAAGCTTTCACGAGGGCTGGTAGCCTACTCCCACTCTGCAGTGAGGAAACAAGCTAAACCACTTGAGTGCTGACAGTCTTCCAATGCCTTCCAAAATTCCAGCCCGCCCACCGCCCTCTTGGGCCCAGAAGGGCAGACATGTTCTCCCAGGTTATTGGGAAAGCAGCCAAGCAACACAAAAGACCATGGTATGTGTCCCCTGCAGCTAGGGTGACCAGATGTCCCAATTTCATAGGGACAGTCTCGATTTTTGGGTCTTTCTTACATAGCCTCCTATTACCCCTCACTCTCTGTCCTGATTTTTCACACTTGCTGTCTGGTCACCCTACCTGCAGCCCTAGTGACACACACATGGGCGAGTGCAGCACTGGTGAGGACACAGGAACTGGGCTTTGCTAACCAGGTGTTGATCATCTGAAGGCCAGTCACCAGATTAACTCTGCAGTGAAGACACATCCCTTTGTAGGCTACCTGGCATCTAAACCTGAGAGTTTAAACTGGTTCAGCAAACACATTTTACAGCTCCATATAGGTGGGGCCTTAAAGCAGTGGAATGGGCCAGACACTGAAGAAAACATTTTACAGTTTGATTACCCAAGAAGTGCATGGTTGATTAATGATCAATTGACCTTAACCTAAGGTTTACCTGAACTTCCTTATCAGATCTTATATACACATTATGCTGTGGGAAAGTTAGGCTTTGTCTACACTGCCAATTGAATGACAAAACTTTTGTCTTTCACAGGTGCTTAAAAAAGTCCGTCTCCCCCCCACTCCCCAAAGACAAAAGTTTTGCCGCAGCGAGTGGCAGTGTAAATGGCTCGTTGTCGGCTGGAGCGCTCTCCTGTCCACAACGTGAACCCTGGGGTGCGTGTGGAAGTATTTTTGTTTACACTGCCCGACTTTTAACGACACGGGTGTAGTGTAGACAAAGCCTTAGCCTGTCATCTAGAGTTTCCAATTATTCGTTACCAAGCCCCCCAACAGGATGTCAGCCACCAGCAACATGAGAGATTTTAGACTTTAAGTTTATCAACTCATACGTGCAATTGCAGAATTTGTGTACATGTGGGCATATCCAGAGTTATTCAGCAATTTAGTTAGTAAAGATGAGAGACTGGGTATTGGCCCTTTTCTACCCAGACTGGTTAATGTTTTTTACAGAATAGAATTCCACAGAGTTTGCCACAAACCTAGAGCATGCAAGCTCTCTGGGGTTGGGGCTGGTTTTTTGTTTTGTTTTTAATTCACTAGTCTGTACAATGCCTAGCACAATGGGACTCTGATTCCTGATTAGCCCCCACAGGCTCCAATATAACACCACCACAACACTGTGAAGGCAAGGGCTGGACTTTGTAGGTCATATCGAAAACTCTTGTTTTTAAATGGCGAATGCTGCTTGTGCCTTACGTGCTCACCAGATGACACTAACGTACGTATAACTTGGAAATACAACTAACAGGATTTTTTCAGACCCTAAATAGTTAAGACTTTACATTAATCAGTAACCAGCCATTCTGTTAAAAAGGTGAACGTGTGAAGCAATAGGGTAGTTAACACTTAAGTAAAAAGAAGAGCAGGAGTACTTGTGGCACCTTAGAGACTAACAGATTTATTAGAGCATAAGCTTTCGTGGACTACAGCCCACTTCTTCGGATGCATATAGAATGGAACATATATTGAGGAGATATATATACACACATACAGAGAGCATAAACAGGTGGGAGTTGTCTTACCAACTCTGAGAGGCCAATTAATTAAGAGAAAAAAAACTTTTGAAGTGATAATCAAGCTAGGCTAGTACAAGCAATTTGATAAGAAGTGTGAGAATACTTACAAGGGGAGATAGATTCAATGTTTGTAATGGCTCAGCCATTCCCAGTCCTTATTCAAACCGGAGTTGATTGTGTCTAGTTTGATATCACTTCAAAAGTTTTTTTTCTCTTAATTAATTGGCCTCTCAGAGTTGGTAAGACAATTCCCACCCGTTTATGCTCTCTGTATGTGTGTATATATATCTCCTCAATATATGTTCCATTCTATAT